CAGACTGACCCAATTAGAAGACATACAGTAGCTAATACTCTGTTCTCCTCCTATTTTCCCCTAAACAACAAACCCATGACATCGATGGAAGTGAGAGAGAGTGATTGTCCCAAAGTCACCCAGCTGGCTTTCATGCCTAAAAATGGGCTTAGAACTTACACCTTCCATTTCTAGCCCTTATAGTAGAGGTGTATCTAATACATAACATTGGGCAAGGGAGTTTTTGCTTGTCATGTTAGGGATCTGTACAGTAAATGATTGTGTATAGAAATACCACACTTTTTTGTTGCTTAATGTATAACTACTTTTGCTTGAAATAGTGAAAGGTCTGCTTAGCAGGGCTCCAGTGTTATTTAGGATACTTGACAGTCATTGTGCTTTTGACTCACAATTAATCAAATTCTATATTGTTTCATCTCATTCTGAATTTCATTGATGCTATTCACAACTGATCCATTGGTTTTCCAATCATCTTTGCAACTCATGCTGTTGTCATCTAAGAATTCTTTTATTTATTATATCCTCCCTTCCCTAAGTCTGTTCTCACAGTTATCCACCTTGCAATTAGATTGCTGAATATATCAATGTTGGACTATCAGAAGAAAACTTCAGAAATAATGTTTATGTCAGAGCCTTTGATTTTTTAGAAAGGATTAGTATGTGCTGTATTCTATGAAATTATATACATTTGATTTACATGACTTCAAATATATTGTATGGACCTATCTTCTAAAAAGATGCATATTAAGATAGGAAAATAGGATTCGTCTTATAGAAGTCTTTTTAAGACTTCTGGGATCAGATATGGCCTTTCACATATATGAAAATAATTTTAAAAATTGTTGTTTTTCTAGTTTTCCCCAGTTCAAATTTTGTTTTAATCTGTTGTTTCCTAAATATGTGAAGATTTTGTTTCATTTCTTCTTTATGGTCACTACATACACATTGATTCAATTGTGCCTTTAAGAAACATTTTATGTTGATTCAGCTATGTCTCATTATAAGACATAAGCTAATTGAGCCACTGAGAAGTTCCACCACTGACAAACTATGGTAACTGGTAGATTTCCCAACATCTGTATGCCTGCCACAAGAAACACATAACATCTGCAGTGCTTCTAGATAGCTTCTGGAATACAAGTACTAAGCACATTACAACAGTATTTTGCTCTTGCCTGTGAAATGGATTTTTGTAAAGGGAAAAAAAGATGGACAACAATTGGAAAATATGGGAATGCTATAAATGGAAGTCACTGTCAATTAAAACTTGGAAAATGATTGCAGAGCAATTCCTAGCCTGTATGTGTTGTCAGATGGACTTTGTCTGCTGATGTGTTTGTGTGCACAGCAACCTTTAATATTTTTTTAAAACTAAGGATATCCATCTTTTTAACTCCCACACTCTGATGTGTGGGTTGCAAAGGATTCACAGCAGGAAAGAGACTTTTCAGAGGCTTCCCTGGTAGTATTTGCGTCATCTGCTGATGCTGCCAGCTCTTTATGGGCAGAAGATTATCACAGATGGTTCCACCCACTTGCCAGAGGAAAGTCTGCTTTTGTGTACTGCATCCTGAGCTCTTGTTACAGTTCTTGCCAGTTTGAAAGAAGAATAAAACCAACCTCAGCAAGCAGTAAGTTTTCACTATATTAAAGCTGCCATCCAATTCCTTGTGTCTTCTTTCATTCCCAATATATTTTGCTAAATCCAGGCTGAGATTGCAATTCTGGCAGGCCAAGAGGCTTCTAGATATGCAATTGCATAAGACCAACTACTATTGCATAAAAAAATTAGAAGAGGTATTCTGATAGCAGCATTACAATTAGAAGAAGTGGATTTTTAACAAACTTTGCTGTAAGCTGTGCTTACTCTTGTACAGCAGCACTTTGACAATTATCTCTGGACTTTGAGTCTAAAGCAGGATTAAGATAGGCCAGTGTTTTTCAACCACTGTGCCGTGGCACACTAGTGTGCCGTGACATAGTGTAAGGTGTGCCGTGGGGAAAACACTTTATATATAGTCAATATAGGCACAGAGTTAAAATTTTTTAACATTTTCTAATGGTGGTGTGCCTCGTGATTTTTTTCATGAAAAAAGTGTGCCTTTGCACAAAAAAGGTTGAAAAACACTGAGATAGGCAATCATCAAGGACTTTCAAATTAAAGCAGTCTGAGAAGCTGAAAGAAGGTAGAAGAAGGTATTGGCAATTCACTTCAATACTGTTGCAAAGTAAAACATGTGGATATTTCCCTTAAATGAGCCTGACTAAAGGCACTCTTTTTTATGTTTGCTTCTCCAGTGCTTTGGATAGTTGTGGTGCCCTTTTTATACTCTGTCCACAAACCTGATAAAGTAAGTAAATCCCATTTATTCCAATTAACCCCAATTACATTTAACCTTGTATTTAATTATGCACATAAACTCAAGGCAGTTTTGCTGGAACAGAGTTGGACTGTGATGTGTTTTCTTTTAATCTAGTTTTGTTTCTTATACGCTCTGTCAAAGAACATCTTTGTAAGGGGGGGGCGCAAACTTCCAAATTTTTAAATAATTATTAAGCGCTCTCATGTCTTGCTAATTTGCAAATTTTATGTGATATGCCTGGAAAACATCTTGGGTCAAAAAGCTGCAGAGACTGCTTATACTAACCAGACATAATTGAAGCCTCCTGGATGATGACATTATGCCACTGAATTGCTTTGTATACAGTGCTGCTTTTTTAAGCCTCTCAAAGCAGCTAGTTGATAATTGTCAGAGTGGTTAATTAAGTTACCTGATGGAAATAGTGCTTTCCAAGGTTTCTGCTTTGATTGTTACCATAGCAGAGAGTGGGGCATACATTCAAAACAAGAAATAAATCTTGGAAATCATGCTTTCAGTCCAGTGTATTCAAAACTGGATGCTTACTTTTAACAACCTGCATTGCTTCAAACCCAGGTATTTGAAGGATCATCCCAAGTGAGTGGTGAGTGAGTCAGTCTGGGCACAAAGATAATATCTTCTGAATAATCCCTAGTTTCTGGAAATGAGATAAATGGCAGGGAAACGCTATGGCTTTTCAACTATCAGTTGGAATGTTCTTCCAAGACAAATTCACCTGGCATCCCAATGTTTTTGTTTTTGATGCCATTCAAGGATCCTTTCTTTTTTCAGTATCTTACTCTGTTTACAAGTACTGATGTCATGCAAGAATTTTTGCTTGCGGTTTTCATTCCTGTGTGCTTTTTATTTTGTTGTCATCTGTTTTTACTGTCTGGCTGATTTAGTTACCTGATGGAAACTCAGCTTTCCAGAACACCACTATGGAAAGAGCTGTGTTAATACATATAATGTTTTAAAAATCCTATGAAATTTTAAAAGTAAAAGAAATGTGGCTGAAAGATGATATTTTCTGACTTCCTGTTTGCTTATCTGAGGATGGGACATCCTTCCAGGATAACATGCATATCCATTAAAAAGATAAAATCTCTCTTGAGTCATGCTAGTCCCTAGTGACTGTATTGACTCATCCAAAGTTTCTCTTAGGCTGTGGGGGTAACAATATGACTTCTTTACAGGTCACATGATGGGAGCAGTGACTGAAACCAATTTGCAGAGAAGAACAGGTTTTCCCATCATGAATATAAGCCACTGGCTGTTTCTTCAGAGCAGGAATGCAGAGACTCATTCTCAATTCTTAAAAGTCGTGTTTTCTGACTTGTGTCATTTTGTTCAACTGCACCCTGGATTTCAATGTGCTTAAACTGCCCACTCCACACAACTACCGTGCGCTAGAGTAGGAACACCCCTTCTTTTCAGAGTCATTTTGTTCTGGATTGCTGCCCCTCCTGCCCGCTCCTACAAGGACCAGAATGGTGAACTTCTGTTCCTTTTCTTCATTTCATTTTCTTGTTAGTTCATAGTCAGAATGGGGAAATGTGACCTTTTTTTTCTTGTTTAACCAGGTGAACTTGGCAAGAGTTCTGCCAGTTTTCCTTTGCAGCCATGTGAAGCAGGAACAGTGGTGGGATTCAACATTTTTTTACTACCGGTTCTATGGGCGTGGCTTGGTGGGAGTGGCAGGGGAAAGATACTGTAAAATCTCCATCCCAGGTATGGGTTCTGGCTGCTGCTACTGTCGGTTCATTCAGGGATGCACTGCCCGTGTGCACTTGAAGCATGCTATGTGCACATGCATAGCACTAAAATAATGCTTCTGCATGCAGAAGCAAAAATCAAGATGGTGGTGCCTATGGTGACGCCGAGAGAACGGTTTGAGGGTGTGGCAGGCTGAGTTACTACTCAGCCGAACCGGTCCAAACCAGTAGGAACCCACCTCTGCCCCATTCCCTCCCCACTCCAGGGGAAGATTACTGCAAAATCCCCATTTCCTCCTGATCAGCTGGGGCTCAGGAGGCAGAAAATAGGTGAGGGAGGGCCCAGTCAGAGGTGGTATTTACCGGTTCTCTGAACTATTCAAAATTTCTACTATCAGTTCTTCAGAACTGGTCAGAACCTGCTGAACCTCTGAACAGGAATGATAAAAATGTAATGTTTTCTTTTTAAGTAGTGGCTGTACCAGACAGGAAAGTGAAGGGGAGTCAACGAGGGTGGGGGGCTCACACAAAACTACAAAATCTCAATATCTGTTGCCCACAGTAAGGAAAGCAATTTGCAGTATGTTCCTGGGATGGAAGGGGAGGGATAAAGAAAATAGGAATCCACCAATCAGGGCCAGTGGTAACTACAATCCAAGTAAGACACCTGGCCATCATTATAACCAAAGAGGACGAAAGATTGAAATTTGGAAATGGATTTCTTAAGCCTGCTTCATTTCCAGATAGTATGTACAGAACAGCTAAGTAGCCTAAGGCTGCAGTGCAGAAAAAAAACCTTAGTGAATGTATATGATTGTTCTATAGTAGCTAAATCAACACTAAGAATAGTATTCTTGCAAACGTTAGGCTCTATTTTTTTTCTGTATAAGAAAAGAACACTAACTGCCCAGAGGGATTATTCAAGTTACAATATGAACATAGATTTTAATTGTGTTGTTTGTTAATAACTAACCAGAACAGATCAATAATCAAACTGACAATTTCACCCTGTAGATTATATAAGATAAACAATATATGAAACAGATTTTTTTAAAAAGGCAGGCAAGACTGCACCCAAGGGTTACTGTTGCCATGGGACATGTGAAAGTGGCTATGAGTCAAGTCCATAACTTCCCTGCTACTCAGACATCAATTATATTAAACTCAACCATACTTCGTGTGCTTTGGATCAGGAGTCTTCAACCTTGGCAACTTTAAGACTTGTGGACTTCAATTCCCAGAATTCCTCAGCCAGAGTCGCTGTGTGCATGCCCACACAAAGAGGAAGGAAGGAAGGAAGTAAAGCTCATGGAAGGGAGAAATATTTGGGTTCGTGGGACAGAGGCATTCTTCTCCTGAAATTGATTTTTCACCTATAATCTTTTGTTTTCAGACCCTTGGATAAAGCAATCTGCTATTGCAATGACAGAATATACTGCTAATATGTTTTTTGTTCTCACACAAATCGAGGTGGCTTCACTATGATAAGCTGCATGATTGGAAGACATTCATGAAAGATGCTTTGAATGTCTGTATGTCCAATATCACAGTACGGAATTTTGAAGACTACAAACTCTTCAATTTTTTCCCAACAGAAAAAAACATTAAATTCATTATCATAATGGCAGTATTTAAGAGTTCAGAACTGCTGGGGCACACTGCACTCTAGCTCTGTGAGATTCCCTTCTTTGTTTCCATTGTGACTCTTCAAAAAGTACTTGGAAAACCCCAGCACAAAATCTTAACGATTTTGTTCAACTGCTGTTACTCGTACATGATATTTCAGAGGAAAGCAAAATCTTCTTGCAGTCCTAGATGATATGCTTCCTCATCCTTGGATGAAACTTCTTGTTAGGCTATGAACCTTGATTGCTCCATTACAAAACTGGCCTGATTTTCAGCCATTCAGAGTTGACGGTGGAAGTGCCCTATAATCTCATACGTCAGTGGTGCTCCATAATGCTTCAGGAAATGACATCATACTAGGAAGGAGCTTCTGCTAGCTGATAGAGCCACAAAGTTGTGCAGCTACATGGAGCAAGAATTTGTTCTCTCCAAAGGACATCGTGAAAGGAATTAGAGGAAAGCAAGGCAGTGCAAGAGATGGTGAAGGAAAAGTGTCAACTTTTCACATACTGAAGATACTTGCCCAGCTTCAAAGACGGCAGAGCTATTTCTTGGTCTATAGATCACTCTGAATGGTGAGCATCCAATGACATGCCAGCTAGGAATCAGAAACACATAATGCTTCTACTGCGTCACTCAAACCCTGATTCACTCCACCTACTGCTAGAAGGCAGTTTTTTACCATGATGGTGGAGCAAGCACAGCGTGGAGTAGGCATAGGTGGTAAACTTTCCCATTTATTCTTTCCAGGATGAAAGGCCTCAGCAGATTCCAGAACAGTTGGCTGGTTTCCTGGTTAGAGAAAAATATGAGTACAGATGGATTAAAAATGCACAGAATTCCAAAGCCATTCAATAAACATTCTACTGATCACTGATTTTTAAAAAGAAGGATATACATGTATATGGGTTTATGTATGCATATTTGTGGAAAATATATTCTTTGGGATATATGCTTGGAAACTTTAAGATATGTGGATTTCAGCTCCAGAATTCCTCAGCCAACCTATCTCAGGAATTGCGTGAGCTGAAGTCCATACATCTTCAAGTTCCCAAACTTGAAAAACTGTTGTAGGAACTGTAATTTTTGGGGAAATTGCTCCTGTTTCTTAACTAATAGTTTTTGAGAAACCACAGAAAACAAGTTAAACCAGCTGGATTTCTAATGCTGTTATTCTCTTACACAGAAAACAGAATTAATTACATGCCAGGTTCAGAGAACAGTTTCAGAAAAAGGTGATTTCCTCCCTCTGCTTTGATATAAATACAGGCACACAAAGACACACTCCTCTTATTCCTGAATATATATTTGTTCACTTTAGAGAAGAAATTGATTTGATTTGTCCTTGTATCATATTCACAGCTGCACAAATAATTGTGAATTTAAACACTTCAGATATTTTTACTGTCATAGCTGTCCATAGTATAAGCTTATAAAGTTTTGTGTGAATTTATTTTTTCTTCATTTTAACTCTCTCTCCACAGACTCTCAACTTCACACAATAAAAACATACAATTTTTCAGTTCATTTTGTAAGGATAAATATTTTAGCTATAATGGATTTTAGTTCAGCATTACTAAGTCAAGTTTTATTCCTGATAATTGTAGAGGTAAAGATATGCTTGACACCTAGACTTTTATAATAATACAAAGCTCTTCTGAGGAAATTCCATCCATCCATCTTTCTTTTTTTCTCTATTTCCCTCAACCTTATCTAGAACAATCATTAAATTCTAGTTCATCATCTGCTGCCTTGGACATATTTATCTGAAGTTTGTGACTTTCTACTCAGAGATCATCACCTGAGCCCTTTAAATTGCACTCTCTGGGTTTCATGCTTAGGAAGGAACCCAGAGAATCCATGATGGCAAAGCTTTATGCATTCCCAGACTAACTGCTTCCCTATTGGTTCCAAAGGCAAGAATGGGCAGGGGATCACCAATGGGATTCATTGGAGAAGTTTTGAGGTAGACTCATGGACAGGCCCATTTCCTATTCACAATATAAAGAAAACTGGAAATAACTGTTTCAGGAAAATATAGTTCAAACTGGAATTCACTTTGAAGGGATGGGGGAAAAATCCTCACCTAGTCCTCCTGCAACAACAATTCTTCCTTTTAAATAGCCAGAAACGAAATCTGCCCGTCGTTTTTTCAGAAAAAATGAGTGATCGATCTTCATCCAGCCCCCTGAAAATTAATGTGATTCATTATTAAATGATCTTGACTTTTTTTCATAGCCAATAACATGTTAGAGATCTATAACTCAATAGTTTTTTTCCCCCTCACTGATATATTCTGCGGGCTCATATTTCCCTCCCCCTTATACTTCTTTTACTCTTTGGTACAGACATGATCACCAAGTCTTTCAGTTGTATTCCCGGCCTTTGCCATTGTAACTTCTGCAGAATGCCATGGTGTACAAATATGGATTTTGTCTGCTGAGGAAATTATTATGGTAATACAGTCAGTGCAGCAATGTTGGGACCCTTTCAGTTAACCCCACAGAATATATACTATTACCTGAGAAATTCTATTTCAGTGTTTCTCAACCTTGGCAACTTGAAGATGTCTGGACTTCAACTCCCAGAATTCCCCAGCCAGCATTTGCTGGCTGGGGAATTCTGGGAGTTGAAGTCCAGACATCTTCAAGTTGCCAAGGTTGAGAAACACTGTTCTATTCCATTGAGGCAGGCCTGAGGAAAGATACCAGTTTGCTGAGGAATGGAGAGAACCAACATACAACTTATCCTGGGTTTCTTTTTTTTTTTTACTAATAATTTTAATAAATGGTTTAGAAACAACAATAAAACATAATGCAAACTAAAAAAGAAAAAAGTGCAAGGCGGCAAAAAGTAAAAAGAACCACCTTTAAAAAAGCAGCTTCCTACCCTCATCTTATAACCATCTTTTAGCAATAAAAAACGTAAAGGAGTCACTGTGGGTTATACTCCACTAGTCGTTGTTGACTTTTGGGGGGGAGGGCACAGTGCTCATATCTGTTCCAAGGTCATTGAACCAGCATTGTCCTAAGACATTTCTGCAATCATGTGGTCAGCATGACATCAATAGAGCACTTTTACTTTCCCACCAAAATGGTACCTACTGTATTTATCTACTCACATTTGCCTGCTTTCGAACTGCTAGATTGGCAGGAGCTGGGGCAAGGACAGGAGCCCCTCATGTGATGCTTGGGTCTCAAACCTAGTCTTCCAGCCAACAAGCCCAACGTCTTAACCATTGAGCCACCAGGCTGCCCCTTTTTCTTAGGCAACTCAAATAAGTAACATTTCCTTATCCAATTACCAGTAAAATTCCACACAGAGCTCTAAAATATTAACGTTCATTAACATATAAAAGTTAACATTCCACATCCAACTCTTCCTGGGTTTTGGCAAATTTGGAGCCCATGGCATTAGAAAAGAATGACAATCAGAAGTTCAAGAGAATCTCATAAAAAACTGCTCCCCTCCATTAACTCTATAATATGTGAGGCCCTTTCTCTGGTGTGCAGTTACTGTTCACAGTAGATGATAAATTGCTTCACTTCTCAGCAGACTCATCCCCCCCATTAATTTAAAACTGACCTCTGGACTTGTGAATTTCACATAAAGATTTTACATCTGAACTTTAAAGCTTAATATAAATTTAGGAACAATTGGCAGTACAATTGGAACAATGAGTTTTCTGGCACCTGGAGAAACTATTTTTGCTACAAATAAGATTCTTGAAATCCTTGAAGTGGCAGTCAGCAAGCTGAATAACAATGTTTTGCTACTTAAACTATTATATTCATTATCATATTAACTAATGAAGGCCTTATAATGCAAACACTTGGTTTGAAAATATAATTTACATGATGGGCTTCTCAAATACGTATTTAGGGATAAGTATATAATTTGATTCAACTTAGGTTGTGAAATCAAAAGCTGCAATTCATAGTGCTTACTATTATATTACATACCTTAATTCCCTTATTACATCAGAGATACATTTTTGGGATATAGGCTGCTTTTTACTTTCTTGTGTTTTGCTAGAGACAAGTAGGTGGAATCAGAATGGAATCACATTTTATTCTAAGTAAAATTAATATTAAAGATAAATACATTTCATATATTTTCCTTCCTGCCCAGTTTGAAGTAACAGTTTAATAAGGGCAATTTGGCAGTAATTTCTTTAGGATCAATACGACAGATCCAAAATTTTGTAGAGGTTAAATGCAAACCAGGGAACATACAGTAGATTGTACACCCCATTATAAGGCTTGGGTAAGCAACCTTCAGTTCATTAGGTACATACAGCCACTTTTTATGCTTTCAGAAAGTTCCCAAACTGTATTGTTGATGGCAACAGCAATAGCACTTAGACTTATATACTGCTTCACAGTGCTTTATAGCCCTAAGCAGTTTACAAGGTCAGCATATTGTCCCCAACAATTTGGGTCCTCATTTCACCCCAGAAGGAGGAAAGGCTGAGTCAACCTTGAGCCTGGTGAGATTTGAACTGAATTGCAGTTAGCCGGCAGTCAGCAGAGGTAGCATGCAGTACTGCATCCTAACCACTGCACCATCGTGGCTCCTAATATCCATAGCAAACCACAGAGAAACAGAGGAATAATTTTACTACTTATAAAAAGTGTGTCATAAAAAGCCCCCCCCCCCCAATCAATGGCTAGCCACATTGGAATTTGGAGGACAATCACAGAAGAACTCACCTTGCTCGATATCAAAGACGTCCACATTTTTCATGAACTTGGGCTGACGGTACAATCTGCCCTGCCGCAATCCCCCAAGGCTAAAGATGTTGTTCTCTGTGCAAATAAAGGTGGAGAAAGCCCTTTTGCTGGGAATGTTGGGGAATTTGGTCCAAGATCTGGTCTCAATGTCAAAGACTTCAAAGGCATTCACAGCATACTTGGACTGCCTTCCACCTTCAGTAAAGAAAAGCAGATACTGTAGTGAAAAATCATCTTGGCTTCATCCCAATATTATTTTTTCATCATTTTGAAAGCAGCAGGGAATGGGAACCAAAGTAAAGAGATGCTATCAGAAGTGAAGGGAAAAAGATTCTCCGGGCTACTGAAAAACCAGCTCAGTTTTATGTCCTTTTAATCCTCATCCTATTAGGAAATAACAAGACCCAACTACCTATGAAATATTTAGAAGAAGAATGACCCCTCATTAAGCAATTTTCTCTGGATAGTCACTCAGCTGAACAGATTTTTCTGCTACTCTTCAACATTTTAGTTAGAAAGCTAACTTATCACATGGCACAACTGATCATTATGATTACACTTAGAACTGTTATTCTTTTAAGTTCATAAATCAGACAAACCGCTATCTGTATATTTGGCATAAAATATGTGATGTTGCAGGATAATAAATTTATTCCGTAGATGTCCTATCAATTATGCTTCAAAATGATTACATATTTTCTTCAAGGTTACAGTTATGATAATTAAGCATGTCATAGAGCCGCGGTGGCACAATGGTTACAGTGCAATATTGCAGATTACTTCAGCTGACTGCTGGCTGCACTTTGGTAGTTCAATTCTCACTAGGCTGACTCAGCCTTCCGTCCTTCCAAGGTGGGTAAAATGAGGACTCAGATTGTTGAGGGCAATATGCTAACTCTGTAAACTGCTTAGAAAGGGCAGTAAAAGTACTATGAAGCGATATATAAGTCTAAGAGTTATTGCTAGTAGCTTCTACCAATGTGTTCATTTTATACAATATTACATTACTGTTGGCCTTAACCAAAATGATTATGCAGACATGATGGGTAATCACTCCCTCAACACAGAACTGGAGCCAAAAAGGGAGCAATAAAAAGTAAGCAATGAGAGGGAGCTGTCAGCACATCTGGGAGAGCTTGAGATTTGTAGAATATATATCTACTTTAAAATCATCAAAGAAGGATTACGCATGCTTACCAGCTGCAGGAAGAATGAACAAAAGAGAGCCAGAAGAGCTCTTTACTGTGAGTTCTGTTTATGTAACTACTTTAGTAAAAAAAAATTAACTCACTTCCTCTCCTATCGCCCTTGCTCTCCCCTTGCAGGAAGCTTGATAACTATTGTCTGCTCATTTTCAAACTGGACAACTTTAAGAGGTGTGGGCCAACTCCCAGATTTCCCCAGCCAGCACTTATCTACTCATGCCTAGTGCTCAGTACAGGGCAGTGTTGGGTTTCAAATTTTTTTAGAACCTATTCTGTAGGTGTGGCCTGTTTTATGGGAGTGGCTTGGTGATCATGTGACCGGGTGGGAGTGGCTTGGCAGTCATGTGACTGGGTGGGAGTGGCCAAGTTGATGTTACTGAATTCTTTGACCCAAAGAATGACCTACAAAAAGAAAATATAAAAAAAGGAAATTTATTATTTTGTGCACTTACTACTTAAATAAGAATAAAATAAGTACACAAAACAATAAGACAGCTACTTACAGAGGAAATATGGCTGTCCTTGCCGGTCTTCAACATTACTGACCACCTTACACACACACTTCCAGCCCCTCTGCCTCTTCCCTCTTCCTGGATTCATTCAGTCATTTTTAAAAGAGTGAAAGAGTGTGTGCATGTGTACAGGCTGTGAGTTTTAAAAACGTCTTGTGTGTGCACAGGCTGTGAGTTTTAAAAATATCTGAGTGAATCCAGGAAGAGGGAAGAGGCAGAGGGACTGGAAGCATGTGTTCCTATAGTATCTTCCAGCACCTCTTCCTCTTCCCTCTTCCTGGATTCACTCAGACGTTTTTTAAAACCCACAGCCTGTGCACACGCACACACTCTTCGAGCAGCCCCTCTGCCTCTTCCCCAACATCCTCCCCCATCCCCACCCCAGCCATTCACCAGTTCTTTCTTCTTCTAGTTCTTCTTCTGAGAACTTTTCGGCAGCATGGTGAGGATGGGTGGGCGAGTGAAAGAACGAACGAGGGGAGGGAGCGTTCCGGTACGGGGCCTCCTGACCAAAGAGTATGGGAAGGCATGCTAAATTTCACCATCCATACGGCCGTACCAGTCCGTACCGGTTGAAACCCACCCCTGGTACAGGGTGTTAGCCCTGATGTAGATGTGAACAGAATTTACTCTCATTCTAAGACCATACTGAAGTGTAAAAGAAGTTGACAAAATTTGCTTCTATTAATTAAGAAGACAACTTACTTATTCATCAAAACAGCTAGATCAAAATAGAAATGCCTTTTATTATTTCACTCGCCTCAGATCTTATTACCCTTTGATTTAATCTTTGCAGACAGCAGGTATGTTGGGTGTAGGAGAGATACTGCAGTCTCGGAATGTTTTTTATTAGCTATATTATCAATGTTCAGATTCAATTTTGTGTGTACCAACTTTCTATATTGATAACATGATTGACCCTCAAGGCAATAGATATAATGAGAATGAAGGGGGACTCTCATTTCCTTGCCTAAAGTGCTTTAATATCTTCTTAACTGCTATTCTCAGGTTTCCATCATTTTCTTCTTTTTCAGTTTTGCCTTCTTTCTATACTATCTCTGACCTGCATTGTTCATCTGATTTGCTTTCACTCTATAAAGGACAAGAGCATTCTATAGTATTTTAGCTGAACATAGGCTAAAGTAACTCAGAGTTTCCTATCACCATGTTATTTCCTAAATAAAGATTATATTTTAAGCACTAGACTCAGGAATTCTTTCTTGTAAAGGTTTTTCTCTTTATATATTCTTTCCACTCTATCCAGCAAGCAAAATGTCTGACCTTCAAGCTAGAGATTTCTTGATGGAAACAACAATCTGGAAATACCCTGCCAGGAGAAAGTTGCTAATTGGTAATGAAGAGAGGAGAGGGACTTAGATAATGTGCAATCTCTGACTAATTTGTGACCCCAGGGAGGTAGGTCAGAGGCAGCAAACTGACTTTAGCTAATGAATGAGGGGCAGTTATGATAGAATTGCCCAGATGACCACTGTGGACCACAGGTGGTTTGAAGTATACAATCTGAACATGTGACAGCAAAGCCTATATTAGATGGACACTGTGTGTAAAAAATGTTAAGTCTTTCCAGGTTCTCTTGAGGTTGGTAGAACTGCAGAACATAGTAATCTTGATCTTACATAAGATAAAGGTAAAGGTTCCCCTCACACATATGTGCTAGTCATTCCCGACTCTAGGGGGCGGTGCTCATCTCTGTTTCAAAGCCAAAGTGCCAGCGCTGTCTAAAGACGTCTCCGTGGTCATGTGGCTGGCATGACTAAATGCCAAAGGCGCACGGAACACTGTTACCTTCCCACCAAAGGTGGTTCCTATTTTTCTACTTGCGTTTTACATGCTTTCGAACTGCTAGGTTGGCAGAAGCTGGGACAAATAATGGGAGCTCACTATGTTTTCGTGGCACTAGGGATTCAAACTGCCGACCTTTCTGATCTTACATAAAGTAGTTTTTTAAAAAGAGCTAAAATGGTCTTATTTTTGCAGAAACAAGACTAATAATTGGTTCTATATTTTTATCTTTCTGGGAACATAACAATTATTAGATTTTTTTGCCACAGATGTCACCAACAATGACTGATACCCGATTCGCAAAAGTTTCTTATTTTATTTGTGACTGATGGTTTTGAAATGTCCCTTCAGTATTTTTTCTTCCAAGAGCCCATTTGTGGGTTTTTGCTCCTTAATCTCACAATATTGCACAGGGAAAGTGACATTCATGTAAATACTATTTCCTTCCACTATGAGGGAAAGATGCAGCCATGGACCTGTGGTTTCAGTAGAAAACCTGACAGTTACCACGCAGACATTTTTACTCAAAGGACATTTTCAGCACTGTATATTTTAAGCAGCTGTCTAAGGAATAAGAAACAGGTTTTTGAACTATGTATGTGGAGACAAATTAAAGTAAGGGCTACAGTTAGCTGCAAAATGGGAAGATGCTTGAGGTGTATTCTTACCCAGAACATAGATCTTGGTGCCCCGCAGAAAGGAGGTGGCAGCATACCTGGGTGTAGGCATGGTTGCCAAGGACACCCAAATGTCTTTAAGCATATCATAATGTTGCATATAATTGTGAGGACGTAGATCTGCTCCCATTCCACCAGCTGCATAGATTCGGTAGTCTGGAATAGGAAGAGAAAATGAAACAAAATATGAAATTGGTGTTAGGGCTTCAGCAGGCCAGGAAGAGTTTACCCCATTGTATATGTGGAGATTTAAGGACAAAGTTATTAGGCAGAAATATAACTGAGCTATAATCCATTTTACATTTTAAATGTAAAATCTGAATAATCCCTGAATGGAAACACATTAATTGTTATCATATTCCACAGATCAAAGAGTACTGTTTTAAAGGTAAACCTTCCACCAAGTTCTGCTATAAATTTATTTATGGCTTTAGTCCACCTAATGAGAGTTATTCACATGCAGAACAGCAATGATAAATATGTGTTCATTTCACTTGGCTAAATTTCAACAAATACTTCTTCTCTAAGTGATGTCTCCTGCAGTCAAGCTCCCATTTAAGCAGGTAAATGCTTGTTTGGGTAAAAGGAAGCTTCTGGCTTTCTATTTCATAACAACAATTTGATACTTTTTATTGCAAATAGTCACCTAAAATGATACAAGTATTCAAAAGCAGGTTGTAATGTGAGGGTAAAAATACTGAAGGGAAAAAAGATTGACGCTCGACTGCACACATTCACCTTCCTATATAAATTCCTACTGAATGATCTTGGCACTCCGTGCTTTGCAAAAACCTTCAGCCTGTCACATGCTCTAGAAAGCACTGATTTATTTGTCCTTTGAGAGCTATAAAAACTTCACCAAACCAAACAGAATAAACAACATCTTCCATATTTGGCAGGAACACAGAATGTGCCTGACTGTATGTGGGTTTAAAAAGCAAAGAAAAGGTCAGGCCATACTCCAATTACAAGACAGACTTCACAGCGTGTTCTAGGCCAGATGGTTGAAAACCACATAAACTCAACCAGAGCAATTCATTGATGTTCAGGTGAAAGGGTCAAAATCAGATAATACTGACTGTATAAAAGAAGTTGATAGCTTCTTGCTGACTAGACAACGCCTCTGCATATGAAAAAAAAAACATTCATCCCACCAATTACAAACATGAATATATCCAAGGCAGGGGTGAAATTCAGCAGGTTCTGACAGATTCTGGAGAACCAGTAGCAGAAATTTTGAGTAGTTCAGAGAACCAGCAAATACCACCTCTGGTTGGCCCCCGATTGGGGTGGGAATGAGGATTTTGCAGTATCCTTTCCCTGCCACACCCAACATGCCACACCCACAGAACTGGTAGTAAAATACCAGTTATGGGTATCTTGTCATTTAATTTATATTGGTATTTTTTCCAGACCCGCAGTAAAGCATTTCTTAAAATATGACTTTTAAACTTCCTATCCAATTTTTTGTTGAACAACAAGTAAGCATGCCAACCATATACCAGATCGTATCCCTCGATATTCAATATTCTATCATTAGTTAAATGAGTCCAATCACTAATTACAGATAGCGCCACTGCATCATAATATAATTTTAGGTTAGGTAATTTCAAGCCTCCTCTCTCCCGTGCATCTTGCATTATTTTCATCTTT